ACCCCCCCTTGAGTATTTATAAAATGGAACATTTTTTAATTAATTTGGGAATATAATAATATATTGTAAGTATAATAAATTTTGTTTGGCGTTATTGAGATTTTTCCTTAAGGCAACTGCTACATCCGGCGATGAAAGTTTTATATTAGCAAGAGAAAATTGTGGTAGAAATGCACAATACATAAGTTGGAAAATACAAAATGAAATTTTTAGCATTTGTTATGAAATTATTTCATCAAAAATTGTAAATAGAATTAATGAAAGTAATTTTTTTTCAATAATAGCGGACGAAACCGTTGATATATCGGGTACTGAACAGTTTGCTCTATGTGCCCGTTATTATGATAAGAAAAACAAAAATATTCGTGAAGATTTTTTAAAATGTATTCCAGTACATGATGTGAGTGGTAAAAGTTTAGCGAATCATATAATTACTGAATTAAAAAAATTGAATGTCGATGTAAACAATCTACGAGATCTTGTGAAATCAGAAATTTTACTATGGAATCGTTATCTAGATGATAGGTAGTAACATTAAAACAAAAAATGCCATCAACATATTGAATAATTGCAATTCAGATTTATTTCCAAATGTTTTTAAGCTTTTGCAAATACTGGTCACACTTCCTGTCACATCTTGCGAAGCTGAAAGATCATTTTCTACACTCAAACGCATTAAAACTTACTTAAGAAACTCAACGTCCGAATCGAGATTGAATGGACTAGCTGCTCTCAATATTCACTATGATATTGATGTCAAGTCCGAAGAAGTAATACAGCGTTTATCGAATTTAAAGCGTCGTTTAGACTTTATTTTATAATTTTATTTGATATATTTTCATTATATTTTTTTTATATATACATTTTATTATTAATATTATTACACAATTATTTATGTTTATATCTGTTGTAATATAATTTTGGACCCCCCCCAAAGGATATTTCTGGTTGCGCTACTGGTTAATTTAATACTAGTTTGTAATAAAAAATAAATACCATGTGCAAAAACGATAAATTATAACTAGCCGACAAATAACTTGTAACAAATACTTTATTGATTATACTTTATCGACTATTTAGTATACCTGTTTGTTATAAGGTACTAAATATTTTATCGATATTGCCCACAATAAATCCCATTAAAACTAATTTTAAACATAATTAACGCATTGAGTATTGACAATGTGTCGTCTTTACAATATATTGCAGCTCTTATCGATTTGTTCCGTTGATATCATGGCCTAAATATTTAAGCCATGCTTGATATTCAGAGAAAACTTTATCAGGTCAATAGATATTTTTTTTTTTTTTTTATTTTATTTATTTAAGCATATTTACAATCTATACAGTTTGTACAATAAGTAAATTTGATAACAGTGAATAGTAATGATTGAATGTCTTGAATATCTTGAGGGGGGAAAACCGTCCATCAACAGTACCTCCTATTTAATTTGATGGGTTCATATCATATTGAGACCGTTAGGCAAGAGCGTCCTTGGCCATTTTCTTTTTAACCTCCTCGGAGGATTGTTGGGGATAGTTATGGAGGACATGCGGGAAATTAGAGGGTTTTGGTTCGAGTGCAGTTTGGAGTGAAACTTTTTGTAATGATGAGTTGCTATATCGTTGACTGTTGGGATTTGGAGATCTTTATGTAATGCGTCGTTGGTCATATACCATGGGGCTCCAGTTATTTGTCTAAGACATATAGACTGGAAAGCCTGAATGGGTCTTATATTGGATGGTTTGGCTTGGCCCCAGATTTGGATACCATATGACCAGAGGGGGGTGATAATCGTCTTGTATATTAATATTTTGTTTTTTAAATTCATTGAAGGAGATAGTAATGGACGTAGGAGATGTAAACGTGTATTTGATTGTTTTCTTTTCTGTTTTGTGTGTTGGGCCCAGGTAAGTCTTTTATCAAGATGAACTCCGAGGTATTTAGTTACATTTTGGATAGTAATTGGTGAATTATTGAGAAAAAGTTGTGGACATTCGTTTTTTTTAGAGAAAAATTTATTTGAATTGATTTGTTTTCATTTATTTTAATTTTCCATTTAGATTTAAGTGGTATTGTATATCGTGGGTGGCTATGTTTGGGTCTATGTTTGATGCTAATATTGCGGTATCATCTGCATATGTCGCTAGGGTAGTATGGTTTGTTTTGGGCATATCTGATGTGTAGATATTATAGAGTATAGGTGATAGGTAACTTCCCTTTTATGGTAGGCAGAGTAGGAATTGTTAAATTTAACAGTGAAATATCGGTCTTCAAGATAAGATTTTAGAATGAGGAAATACGGAGCAGGTAGAAACGATTTTAATTTGAACAATAACCCGTCATGCCAGACGCGATCGAATGCCTGTGCAATATCTAGGAATACACCGGGGCAGTGTTCTTTTTTTTCGAATGATGATGATATTTTGTCAGTGATTCTATGTATTTGGTGGATTGTCGAGTGATATGATCGGAATCCAAATTGAGTATTTGGGATGATGTTTTTTTCTTTGATAATAGGGGTTATTCTTTTAAAAAGTAATTTTTCGAAAAGTTTCCCTAATGTTGGTAGTAAACTTATCGGGCGGTATGAGGTTACCAAATGCTTTGGTTTCTCTGGCTTAGCAATTAATATGATTGTTGAAAATTTCCATATTGGGGGAATGTGTGATAACCTGAGCATTGAGTTGTATATGTGAGTCAAAAGAAGGATGGTTTTATTTGTTAATTTTTTGAGTATTTTGTTGTTGATTAGATCATATCCTGGGGATTTGTTGTTGTGTAGTTTAGTTATATAATATTTTATTTCTTGTGGTGTGATTGGCTTGGCTGGTAGTGACATAGGTAGTGGACTGTTAAGAAAAGTTTGGACATTTTCTATGTGTGTTTTTATATTGTAGTTTGTATTCGAGTGAGGTTGGAAAATTTCTGATAGGTGATTGCCGAATAGATTCGCTTTTTCACTGTCGGTTATGGCTAGAGTGTTGTTAGGATTATTTAAGGGGGGGACTATGTTTTTTATTTTGGTTTTATTTTTTATAGATTTCCATAAGGAACCATTGATTGGTGTAAGTGATGATAAAAATGAGTGGAATTGATTGGCTTTGAAGGTTTGCAGATCTTTTTTCAGTTTATTTGTTAATTTGTTTAATTCATGTTTGTGCTCCGGGTAATGGGTTTGGTGCCAAATTTTTCTAGCTTGGCGTTTTTTTTTAATTAATTCTTTTAAATTCAGTGGTAAATAAGTATATTGGTGTGGTTTTATTGGTATAATCGTATTTGATGGTGAAGAGGTTGAATCTGTTATTGCTTTTTGGATAGTTGTAATGAGGAATTGTGAAGCGCTGTCTATGTCTTCGTTAGTTTTTAGTCGGATATTTAATGAGATGTATTCGTCTAATTTTTTTTGGAATAAATTGAAATTAATTTGTTTAGAGTGTAGAGTGTTATTTACGTTTTCTGGTTTACCACCTAGGTGGAGTAGAACTGGGGAGTGGTCACTGGACAGTTCTTCAAGGTTTTTTATATTATTATTTAAGTGGTTTGGTAGCGAGGTTATGAAAAAATCTAATATGTCTGGGTGACGATTTGCGTGAGATGGCCAGTAGGTTGGGGCACTAGGTGAAATGAAGGATAAGTGATTATTTAAAATTGTATTGTAAAAAGTTTGGCCTCTAGGGTTAGTTGATCTACATCCAAATGCGGTATGCTTTGCATTAAAGTCGCCGCCAATAATGAATGAATTTTTAAGTGTTCTTAGGAATGTTTGGAGTCGAGGTGGTGTTATTTTTTGACTAGGAGGGCAGTAGACTGATGATATTGAAATGGGGATATGGTTAAGTACTATTTGGGTACTTGTAGCTTGTATATAGGTCTTTTGATATGTCGGTAATGCGTAGTGTAATAGCGTAGTGGATATTAAGATCGCGGTACCAGCGTGTTCAGTACTATCGGGGTGATCTGTTCGGTGTGTTGTATAGCCTGGTATGTTGAAATGTTTCGTTGGTGTTAGGTGTGTTTCTGTAATTAGGGCGATATTTATTTTTTTGTCGTAGAGTAAGTGTTGTAGTTCATTTTTATTGTGGATTAATCCATTTGCGTTCCAGAGTAATATTGATAAAAGAGGAGTTTGATTATTATTAGTTGACATTTTTCATTAATTTGTCGATGACTGTTGTTAAAAGTGAGATAAGTGGGTTAATGAGGGATTTGAATTCGTTTAAAAAGGAGGTCAATTGGGTAGTCATGTTTACGTTTTGTTGGTTTTGGTGTTCATTATTTGTGTGTATAGGGTTTTTATTTTGTAGGGTGGCCTTAGAGTAGGTTTGGCTATTATTTGAATTATTTGGGTGTGGGGTACTGTTGAGAGGTTGGTTGTACAAGGTGGGGTTTTTGTGATTTGTGTTTTCTTCAGTTTTGTCAGCGCTGTTTTTGCTTGGTGATTGTTTTTTTCGAAGTTGCTGCAGGTTTTTGAATACAAGGCATCCGCGATAATTTGCTGGGTGATCTCCGTTACATAGCGCACAATTGGCAGGGAGGTCTCGACTTTTGGTACATGTGTCAGTTCTGTGGTTGTCACCACAACGGACACATCTCGGATGGTTGTTGCAGTAAATTCTGGTGTGGCCGTAGTTTTGGCAATTTAAGCATTGTGGTGTTAGTTTATTGATTACTTTGGTGTAGCATATAGTTTGGAGCTCGAATATATTTTTATTGTGGAGCGCTGGTTCTAGGTCCACGAAAAATAGGGGCAGTTTTATTTTTGAGACTCTATGCAGAGCGTTTGTGACGTTTCTCACTTGATATCCTTCCTTTTCAAGTTCTTCTTTTATGTAATCTGGTGGAGTAGTGGGATGTAAATTTCTAATGACGATACGGTAAGGTTTGTTTTCTTTTAATTGATATGTATAAAATTCAGCTTTTGCATCTTTTAGATATTTAATTATGGATCTGTATGCATTTGATGATGTAGTATTTATTTTATTGATTCAGTAGAGCTTTAAGTAAAATCGTCGGTGGGTTCTATAATATTTTTTATTTTCTCGCAAAATTGTTGATAATTTTGGACTTTTGTTTTAATAAATATTGGTGGAGGTGATTTAGAGATGGTTTCGTTTTCTTCATTAGTTTCCATATCCGTGTCATCATTTTGTGATAGGACACTGAATTTATTATGAGAGGAAAATAGCGTGTTAGTCGTGGTTTTAATTGTTTTAGATAAATGATTTTGTTTATCAGAATTTAATCGTTTGTGAGATTTGGGGGAGACGACTTCAGTCCATTCGTAATTGAAAACATTGTTCGTATCAGACTCGCTTAATTGGCTGTTATTCTTTATCTTTTGTACGGTGTTTTGGTTGATAAATTTAATTGGGGAGATCTTAGGTTTAGAGTTCATTTTTAATTAGGTGTTGTTACGTAAGTGAAGATACGCGGCTGGGAAGTCGGTCTGTTATACGTTATATAGGTTTGAATTAATTAAGATACTTACAGAAAATCTTGCCTTGGGGTTTGGGGCCCCAGACGGGCCGCAATTATTTTTGCTAAAAAAGCCTCGACACTTCTTGTTGTTTTTTGACACTTTCACAAAAAAAACGGTTAAGAATTTAGTTTGATTATTAATAAAATAGTAAATATCGAATAATTTAGATGCACACATTACGAGTGCGGGACATCGAATAATAGATATTTAAACACATCAATATTAAAAAGAGAAAATGCAAGAAAGGCTTTTGCTTTTATTTTATAGGTAAAATAGAACAAAAAATATATTCAGCAATTTTCTTAGAAATATATCAACACATTTTATATTTAAAAATTATTTTTCAATTATGAAAAAAAAAAAAGGCATTTGCCTTCAAATTCGAACCCTATAGTATAGGTTTTATAGGTATAACATTTTTTACATATATTATAATATCATGTATATCTTGCAGTTGCTTAAATAGTAAAATATATAACCTATATATATAATATACTATAATATTTTAATTTTTTTGGTAGTACGTACCAGAGTTGGGCAAAAACAAATCAAAATAATGAATAAAAAATAAAAGCATGAATAACTAATTATTTTGTGAATAAAGAATAATATTTTATTTTAAATAGTTTAAGTTGTGAATAAAAAAAAAAAATTATTCTGAATAATTTAACTTGTGAATAAATCGATTATTCTGGATAAATTCACTAAATAAAATTGTGAATAATAATAACAATAATCATGAAAAAAATAGAAATAATAATACAAATATAGAAATATTTTTAATTTTCATTCTGCAATTGATAATTTAAATTTGATTTAATACAACTTTAACTCAACTAAATCATCTGATAATCTATTTGACTTTGGTAAATTTGTCATAGTCGCAAAAGAGAAAAGTCTCTCTACTGGAGCTGAAGATGCCACAGGAGTATTGTACCGAAGAAAATATTTTCACAGTAGGATGTGAGTTTAAACTTTCAAGACGTTGACGTGGATCCTCAAAATACTTTAATACCTTAAACATACATTTAAAACCCTAGTTAGAAATGTTAGAATAATTTTCAACTAAAAACATTTAATTTCATATATATAGACTTCAATCTCAGCAGACATGGATGTATCTGTTTCTGTCATTTTTGTATTGCTGGACCAAAGTCATAAACCATCATTCTGATCTTCAATTTCAACATTTTCTTCACTAGTTCGTGTTATAGATTCAGCTGTTACTGCTTTTTTAAATATTGATAAAAGTTTATCACGTAAAGATGACGTAGGAATACAATTTAACCACTTATTTTTGAACTTGGGGTGAGAAAAAGCGGCAATAGCTGCATTTTCAGCTTCAACTGTTTCTTAAACTTAAATCTTAGAAAATCTTTTTTCTATGCTATCTAGAAGACTTTTTCGAATTAATTTACAATAAATCAATTGTTCACTGTTAATAACCATTAATTTTCGTTGCAAGCATAACAGTGTGGGAAAAACCATACCATAAAATACACTTTTATCTCCTTGCAATATGTCCAGTGCTTGTGATAAAGGCTTAACACAAAATAAAAATTCCTCAATGTAACTATGGTCAGAAACAGTAAATGTACACTGCTTTAAATTAAGTGCTTTAGTAAGTTCACTAAATTTTTCTTTTATTTTTTGAATTTGTGTTAACGAGTCAAATAGTGAATTCCATCTAGTCTCACTGGTCTTGATAGGGTATGTCCTAAAATGACTGAATTATCTCTGCTGATTTTGGTCGACCTTGCCGCATTCCATAACATATTACACTTTTGCATGACTCTAGTATGTATTTCATGGAGATGTGGCGATGATATAATGGTTTTCATTATATCACTGGTAGCACAAAGGCTCAATGTATGAGCACAACATCGAATATGCCTAGAAAGAATAACGTAAGGTTTATTTTCTAAATCTTCACTTTGAAAACTATGAACACTTGAATCGCTATCGCTTTCGTCTGTATCATTACTATCACTCAATTTTCTAAAATGTGTCATTTTTACACCAAATACATCAAATGCTTTAACCATATTACTGCCATTATCTGTAACCGTTTCTATTACCTATGACCAAAAAAAAAATGTTCAAGCTCATTAAATTAAACCAGATAATTATTATCATTATTGAGTTAAGCCACAATAATCAAAAAATCAATAAAAATACATTTTTTACAATTTTTATTAAGAGGGCTCCAGCGTAATTAAAATCGGACATTCTGAAGTCTGTGTAATTTACTACCGCTTATTGGTCTAAAACGCATGAAAAATACGTGTGGTGCGATCCCCTTAATGAAATTGTTTATTATTTAGCAAAAAATACGTCATAGAATGATAAAAATAAATCGCAAAAAAAATCATGCCTGATAAACTATAGAAAAGTTCTATATAAATAATTCATACCTTAAGGTATCGTTTGTGTGCAATAGTCCATAAACTATTAAAACTATTAACTATATTATCTAGCATATTTTACCTTAGTCACGTCCAAATGGTACTGTAGTATATTATTATGTAATATCTTTTCGATTCTATCGTGTGTATGAGCACCTCTAAAACGGCGACATGCTAGGCTAGCTGATTTTCGCTCTAACGAGTCTTCATCAATCCAGTGAACGGTTACACCCATAAAACTTCTTTTTGCAGACCACACATCAGCTGTTGTGCATAAGTAATTACTTTTTTCGAATGTACTTTTTAATTTTTCAATGTTTGTATTAAAACGAGTTTCGATTTTTCTACTAAGGCTCCGGCGACTCATTAAAGTTAAACTATTATTTTTAAGAATTCCAGATGCAATAAACATTTTTTTAAAAAATGGATTTTCTACTGTACTGAGAGGTGCCATTGAATGAATAATATAATTAGTTACATCTTCGTCAAATTGATTTTGAGAGTATTTTGTTTTATTCTTACAGTTCGTATTATTGGGATGTTCATATTTTTCTTTTTTTTGTGCGTCATTTATATAATTTTCATATTCATCTAAAACTGTACTATCATGCTTCCTCTTTAAATGTGATTTAAAATTTGACGATGAAAATTTAGATCCTTTAATGTTTACATTTTTTTGGCTGACATTAACACAACTTGCTATCACATTTTTAGAGTCAGACGAAATCAGTTTAAAAAAAGTTCCATCAAGTATAGTGGCCGTTTTTATCGACTTTGATGACTGCTGTTCATCTTGGGAAATAGTTTGACTCTGACCCTCCAATAATTCTACAGTTTGAGATGAACTTGACCCGCTTTCATCATTATAAACTTCAACAGTTGCACTGCCACTCGTAATACTCAAATCATTCATAACTGTATTAATTTTACAAACTTACAGAAAAATGAAAATAACTACTGTGAACTGTCGATATCAAACGTCGATAGTGTATTAAATACAATTTCAGCACTTGTAAATTATAATATAGCTACATCAAATTATATCAGACTTTATTTTAATCTAATTACAAATGTTACTAAAGCAGTAAAACCCAATGTGCGGGTAAATACTAAATAACATGTCGATGTCGAGGACAAATAGTACAAATTATGTAGAGATAAAAATATTATTTATGATTTTTGGTTTTGACATTTTCGATAGCAGATAATAATATAATATACCAATACAAATGAAACACACCGGTTTCAATTTTTAATCAAGTTGGAATTTCCACGAATCATTTGAGATAAGGTCGACAATAAAGAATAATGGATAACGAATAATTGAATGATGAATAAAAAAATCTAGAAAATAACCCCATAAGAATAGTGAATAACAAATCATCGTAAAAATTAAAATGATGAATAAAAATAAACTAGAATAATCTAATGAAAAATAATGAATAAGAATAATATTTTATTCGAATAACGTTTTTATTCGAATAATGCCCAACTCTGGTACGTACTACTATAAACATAACACGTACACAGCTATATATGCGTGTATGTATATTTATATAATGCTAGGGATTGATATTAATTAAGTAAACTGAAATGTAATGTAATTTATTTGTTTTTTGTCTGCACTCTTACCTATAGGTAGCTATAATATCTATTATACATAATATATACCTATGGGATGTGTATAGGTACCTGTAAGTATATTTACAATAGTTTTCTGTGTGCTTATTAATAATATTCAATATATTTATAAATAGGTATATATATTGTACCTATATAGGTATTTAATATATATAGCTACTATTGTCGTATATATTATATATTATATTATTATAAACTAATATATTTGATAATATTTGATGCATATCTAATATATTTATTTATAAAATACATTTACCTATAGTAAATAAATGCATATAAATATTTCTTAAGAAGTATAAAATGTTTTTTAATATTATAATTCAGTGTGAAAATTCCGAAGAATGTGTACAAGCCAAGTTGTAGTTTATCCAAAGAATCCCAAGAAAAAAACCTTAGTTAAGAACTCCACTGAAATAACACATGATTTGGGTATTATTCTGTCCCCAAGTTGAAAAGTGTGCTACTGTGAATTCAAGAGAATTTACTCTGGAATGTAGTACAGATTTTTCTAACGATGACCAATCAAGGATGCTCTTAAACACTAATTTACTAGAAACTATTTTAATAGAGCAGTTGTGTATTGTTGAAGTGAGTCAGACTATAAATGAACCAATTCCAAACAGTTTTCCAATTTTTGACTTCAATCGAAATATAAATATTGATCCAAATGATTTTCAGAATGCGCTAGCATCTTTTATTATTTCTTCCAGACTTCTTAGGATCAGTGCGACCAAGCTTTTAAAATTACTGAAATCAGTTGATAATTTGGAATGTTTAAAGTTACTTCCCATGGATTCCAGAACTCTTTTATCAACTCCTAGGTCAGGTCGTGTTGAAATTGTAGTAAGCCAGCTACTACGGAGTAATACCAATTTCATAAGTACATAGTTATTATTATAATATACGATGAATCGGGATTCAGAATTAGGCGTAGTAACATTTGACAGTAACAATAAAACCAGATTCCACAGGTGCATAAATATTATAATAGACGGTAGACCGGCATAGTCGGGCATTAAGAAGGAAATGGGTCCTTCAAACCTATGGAGTCAGGCTCACTGAATAACTCATGATGAGAGGGTTAAAATAGGCGGTCGTCATTTTTGACAGAAATACTGGACGCATACGATGAATTTAAAATATTGAAGAGTAAAATGACTAATCACAAGTTAGTAATACATTCAATCAGATAAATATTCAATCGTCAATGCGTGGGCTAGAATGATGACTATACGAGTGACATCCGTGAGAACGGAGATATCGTATATGTAGGCAAGGGGTACGGGGAACCTCATATATAAGGGAGCCCGAATCGGCCTGTTTTCAGACGTGTACTACCATCCACTAGTGCAAGCACCTTCACGCCACTTTGTACAATATTATTTGGACTTAGAAAATTATCGAACATTATAATAAAAATTCACAATATATTACATCATTCATTTATCTACCACGACTACAGCATCAAATAAAGTGTCTGCGACCTGCATCTATAATAACTTGGTAGCCACTTATCTACTGTCAGTACTACGATAGTAGGTACCAAGCACCAATATTATTACAAAATCAATAATATCGGAGGCGGACAATACATTCATTTTGGAATTTTGAATGGGTTAAAATATTTGTTAAGTAATATAGATGTACAGAGTCTATCTGAACTAGAGTTATGGTTTAACATTGATGGCATTCCTATTAATAAAGGGTTAAAAGCAGCATTCTGGCCAATATTATGTAGTCTTTGTATAAATTTATCAATGGAAAAGCCATTCATTGTTGGTGTTTATTTTGGATCAAAAAAACCATATTATATTGAAGAATATCTTTTTCCATTTATTGATGATTTAAATGATCTCATTCAAAATGGCCTTCAATTTAACAATATTACTTTTAAAGTTAAAGTTAAAGGTATTATAGCTGATGCGCCAGTTATAACAAGTAAAAGGCCATTCTGGTTATTTTGGTTGCGAAAAATGTAATGAAAAAGGTGTGTGTTTGTCAAGTAGTGTTCGTTTTCCTGATGGTAATTCTGAACTGCGTACTGATGAGTCTTTTTTGTTACGCACTAATGAAAGACATCACATTGGAGTTACACCTTTACTTTCAATACCTGGTTTTGGATTGGTTTCATCCATTCCTCTAGACTACATGAATCTCTGTTGCCTTGGAAAAATGAAAAGAAAATTACACTCCCTTGTTAGAGGTACTCTTGTTCCAAGTTCGTATAATGGTTCAGTTCGGCTATCAAGAGACCAGATTAATGTCATTAATAATCGTATGAAAACAGTTGTAAAATGGATGAGTTCAGACTTTTCTCGAATACCTAGTGATATAAATGACTTTTCATTTTTATAAGGCTACTGAATTTAGGCAAATATTGATATATACTGGACCATACCTATTTAAAAGTATACTTAGTCGAACAGTATATAAAAATTGTATCTTATTGAACATTTTCATCCGTTTATTATGTTGCCAGAAGACAGTTAGCAGTCCGAATGATTTGGCAGCTGATTTAGCTAAACATTTTTTACAGTCATATTGTTTTATATATGGAAAAGGAAATGCTTCTTATAATATACATTCCATAATACATCTGGCAAATGATGCAAAAAAATATGGAGTTCTTGATAACTTTTCAGCATTTGCACTTGAAAACTATTTGCAACATGTCAAAAAAATAATACAGTCTGGCCCCGCTCCTTTGGTACAATTATATAGTCGTATTAAAGAAGAACGTGCATGTTTACCTCCACACCCACCTACAAACTATTATCCATATTTAGATGGTCAACATGTTAATGGTCCATTGCCTTTTAATGAGTTATAAAATAAAGCATATTCTCAATATTCAACACTAATTATGAAAGATTTTACAATTCGAGTTTCAGACGAAAAACGTAGAAGTATGAAAAAAGATGACTGTGTAATAATTTCTTCAAATAATATCTGTATTGTTTATAATATATTGAAAATGAAAGAGGAAATATATTTAGTTTGTAAATCATTTAAAAATATCAGTCCTTTTTACAACTTTGATTTGTGTTCTTCTACTTCTGTTGGAATTTATAAATGTAATAATCTGTCTCATACATTACAATTATATAATATACAAAAAATCAAATTCAAAGCTTGTTATTTACCTATTAATGATATATTACCAAATGTATTTTATGTCTGTGCGATACTTCATACTTCACACAATTAATTATTTTAACTGTAATTATATTGATACTTTAATATAAACTCAATGAACTTATAAAATAACTTAGTATTAATTATATATATATATTTCTTATTGTAAGTGTTTTAGTTAAGTACCTACTTGTACCATTTAATATTATATAAGTATTTAAATATTAATCATTAATATATTCATAATAAAATAAAAATTAATCATATTGTACATTTTATTCAGTTAACTGTAAAATAATAAATAATTATTGGTTACATTTTGTTATGTTCTTAACCTGATTTTATTGTTTTTATTCTATATAATAAAATATTTCTTTAGAAGCATGAACAATTCAGGTCAAACGTATGTTATTGTTACTAGTGAAGATAACCATTTTGCTATTCCAAAAATTTGGTTTCTAGTCCAAAATAACTTATCTTTTGGAGATCCTTATGAATGGTACTGGCCTACAGAAAATGCTTCATTCAAGTCTGAACAATACTGTAATGTTGAAAACCATTGGATCAAAAAAACTGGCTTCGTGTTTAATATAACAGGTTAAAAAAATAATTATATCTACTGCAATGATATCTATGTCAGAATGTATCTATTATATAGATTTGACCACTAAACTTAATTAACATGCCATTATAAAGTATCCTAAGTTAACATCGTAATGCATAAGTAAAACTAAATAGTATAATAAATTACTCTCAACTATAACTATACATATAATGTAACCGTAATATTCTTTTAGATTCTTTTAAGGAAGCAAATTTTATAATCATCACAGAAAAGTTAAAACAAAAGAAATTTGTTATTGTTGAATTTTTAAATGAGGAGTCCGCAGAAGTTGTCTCTACTAACTGGATAACTGTTAATGATGTTTCAAAATCATTTTACTGTCAATGGCCTGGAAGTATGAATGCATCAATATTTGGTATTTCTCGAAAAAATCCTTTAAATAATTGGAGTAAATATGTTTGCCTTCCCCGAAAATGTTATAGAAAGTGATATTTTGCATATCTACAAATAATGTTTCTAAAATCTATTTAGATTTTGACTCAATATTTTGTTGCAGATTTATATACTGAAGCAAAAAATAAATTAACATTGTTATGTGAAACTAGTACTACAGAGGTTGAAAGTAATATTAAACAATCCCAAAGAAAGCGTATACCAAAAAGACATTTTGATTTGTCTGATGCAGACTATAATATTAATTCACTATCAATACAACATAAAAAGACCAAACAACAACCATCCAAAAAAGGTATAATATGATGAAATTATTAAGAGAATGTGATACCGCATGTGTTGTCTCCGGTAAACGGTCACTTTGTACGGTCCATTGCTCAAAATGTACAACCTGGACACTTTGTACGGTCGGGTAAAATGGTACATTGCAGAACGCGGACACTTTGTACTATTATATACATAAAGTAGGTATATATACTATAAATATAAGTTATATACCTAAGTTAGCAAGAAAATAATACTATATATTATATATGACAAATTTTACTAAAAATGTTAAAAATACATTTTATATAATCTGGGGAATCTCATGGGTACATATACATCGATAAAGTTTATCATTATATATATTTCACAATCGCGATATCTACGTTAAATACTTATCATTTGCGTTTATCGTTGAAATGCATTTCACTGAGACACTGTCATATTATACATGTAGTTTTTAAAGATTTTTTTAAATATTAAAGAATGGAAATTTTATATTTTATAGATCGTTCATTTTGACGAATTATTCTAAAATTGATTTATTAAACCCTTAATATTAAATAATTATGTATGTGCACTATTTATCTAACCTTGATACCATTTTGACATATTTTCATATTATTATACTATACAATATTATGTAGTTTTTTAAAATGTTTGTCAATATTATACTTTACTTGTCATTTTGAGATATTTCCATATCATAGGTACTATGCATGTTGTTTTTAATGATTTTTTTTCATTATTATATTTTATTTGTCATTATGACATATTTATATTGTACACATTTTTAATTTGCTTTAAAACTGATATCTAATATTATAATACAATTAAGATTTATAATAATATTATTGATTGTTTGATTATTTTGATCATTATTAATATACGATGAAACAATTTATTTTTTATTTTTTATTTTTATATTTTAATAATTTACATTATAATTTTTAATATTATATATACTTACTACTTAGGTATATAACTTATATTTATAATATATATACTTTATGTATATAATAGTACAAAGTGTCCGCGTTCTGCAATTTACCTTTTTACCCGACTGTACAAAGTGCTGAGACTGTACGGTGACCTAGAACCGTTGTCTCCATTTTACAAGTGTATAACAAAGCAAATTTTACACTCAGCAGAACACGTGTAGCTCCTTTAATTAAAACGTATGCAAACACTATAAACTATTTGTATCAGTACTTAGTATTATTATTTATGCATATAATATGAATAATATGCACTATTACCTTTTGAATTTGGATAATTATTCAAGGCTGACAACTTTTTACCGAGTAAAAATGGTACACTTTCATGACTGTTATCAGAGTTATCAGATTCAATTTGTTCAATATTACTTTTTCCACATTGTTTATCATATACTAAAATAGAAAAAATAAATAAAATAATTATTATTGTTATATACTTAAGTATAGTTACAAAATTAAGAGAACGTGATACCTGCACGTGTTGTCTCCATCTTACAAGTATGTAACAAAGCAAATTTTACACTCAGCAGAACACGTGTAGCTCCGTTAATCAAAACATTAGAATAAATGGACCTCTTATAAAATCTAAAGGTAAGATTATTATCTAGCCAACCTCATGGGCTTTTTATTATATTTTATAATTTTCAAGTGAGTTATGAGTACTTTAAAATGTACAAACAATAACATTTTTAAAATACTCATACTAACTTTAAAATTAAAATATATTAAAAAACCCGTGAGGTTGCCTAGATAATAATCTTACCTTTAGATTTTATAAGAGCACAATTCACTTTTTAAATAACGGAGCTACACGTGTTCTGCTGGGCGTAGAATTAGCTATGTTATGCACTTGTAAGACAGAGACAACACGTCCTGACATGACTCATTTATTTGAAACTGAAATTAATGGTAAATATATTTAAAGTATAGCCAACTCAGTAATAGACATGTCTATGTTAATAGTTAACATAACCATTTAATTATTACCAAAAAAAAAAAATAAAAAACAAGCAACTATAGTATTGGCTAGCCTTTATATATAGGAGTTTAGTACAGGTACTGAGTTGGTTTAGTGATAGATATATTAAATTTGAAAACATTGATAAATCATTGTATACAATGAACAACAATTCTGAGCGAAAACACTGACAATTTTGGTAACCATTGTTTTCAAAAAATTTACGCAATAGTTGCAAGCGGAGTTGCAAGTACATAATTATTGCACCACAGCGCACTGGTATTTATAATCTAACCGAAACCACATATAAAACCAATAAATTCATCTGAATTCCGCTCAGTGTTTAAAAGTGCCTACAATTGTTAATTGTTATATACTCTCAATTATTTTATATTTTAGATGTTCCAGATATGGACACTAATCTTAGCCAGGAAATGGAACAATATTCAATGACAGACCCGAAGAACAAATTAAATTTTATTGGACATGTTCTTAAGGATGGTTAGAACTCTTATATTGCTATAAATTTGGGTGTACTTTTTATAATATTATTTTTTTCAATACTGTTTATTCATAGTTGCAACTAAGAACATAGCTATTGAAAGAGAACTCAAAATTATAAAATTGGACGTGTTTAAGAATCAAGAACTCTTAATAGCTTTGATAGAAAAGGCAACCACTGCAATAGCTGTATCAGACACTGCTTCAACTAATAGGATTAATTTAAAAATTAAAATTCAAAGTTTGGACGATTTAAACACTATTGACACAAATGAAGAAAAAATGGATGCTTTGGTATGTTGTAATTTTCTATTATCATTGAATATTGTATAATATATTATAGACATTTTTGTTTTAAAGGCTAAAATTTTACAAAGAAATAGTAAGTCATTTATTTTTCTATTATAATTATTGTGGCCAAAAACCATACCTAAAATGTCACAATCATGCACTAACAATATACCTATAATATTCCAATCTTACACGAAAAACGTACGTAAAATGTCCTAATCGTACACCAAAAACATACGTATAATATCCCTTATCTAAACGTATAATATACGAAAAGGATATGTTAATTGAGGAGTATTATTCGTTGAATATTCGTGAAATAGTGGTCTTTTAACCCAACAATAGACGATAAATATCCCTCTAATAAACGTAATCTGTACCTACATTATACATATATTGGTGTATGTAATACGTATAACATACCTACGTATAATGTTCGTGTTTTTGTTTACTGGGATTATTGCATTAAAAATCTCATTAAATTGATTGCATTTTTGCATTAAATTGTATTAAAAATTGCACCTAAAAAGTTTAATTATAATCAATAAAATCAAACATAGTAATAAATAATAATAATAAAAATTAAATATGAATATTGCTTACATTATTGCATTGCACAACAAATGATTATTTTAAATTTTCTTAGCGACCTTAATGCGATAATCGCTCTATAGAAATATTAATAAAATAATAAGTGTTACAACAAATATAGAAATTTTTTTCATTTCTATGTTAACTTACTTTTTTTTTTATAGATATCAAGTTATATAATCTTAAATGTAAACAAAAATTATGAAAAATAGTTAAAATTGCATAAAAATTTAAAAAATCGCCAAAATTGCATTTATTGCAGTATAATTTTTTTTTTTTTTAAATTAAGAGCTTAACGAAACAAATTTTAAGCTCACTCAGCAATGAATATAAGAATTTACAAAAAATATGCAAATGCAACAACTTCACTGCCCTAGGGATGAATTTATTCTTGTTCCACATAATGGAAAAAGCGATGTTTGGACTAAATTTCAAATTGTTATGCACAATATAACAAGGTCTGATGATCCCAATTCACCTAATCACACTGACACTGATTTTGTTGCTTGCCCCTCATGTAAGGAACTCTATGGTAAAAAAACGTGTGCAGCTACTCTCAAACGTCATAAATGCACAAAAAGTATAAACCAGAACACTATAGAAATATACAGAGATCTAACAAATAAAAAACGCAAAATGATGCCATCACGGGTAAAAGATGAAGCCGTTGAAAAATGTTAAAATATTGTAGTCTAGATTTAAGACCTATGTTGGCGATCAAAGGAAATGTATTTCTGGAAATCGGGCAATTTTTTTTGAACATTGGTGCTAAATATTGTGTTACACATATAAATGATATTATACCACGCCCAACTACTGTGTCTAGAATTATTATAAAAACTACTATTGATATAAAAAAAAGTTATTTTCAGAAATTTACGGTTTGATTAAAAATCATTATTGTAGTTCAACTTGTGATATGTGAACAGATAATTACAAAAAGAATAATTATATGTCTATAACATGTCATTATATTGATCAAAGTTGGGGTTTAAATAATCGACTTTTACACACTGGCAAATATCCAACACAAGAGTCAAAAACTGGTGTTAATATAAAAAAATGTATGAGTAATTTTTTTACTAAGCTATCAGAAGATGCCGATGAGAATTATGGTTCAGATTTAATGGAGTACATTACATTTGTCACTGATCAAGGAACGAACATGATAAGTGCTCTAAGAAATTATAATCGATTAAATTGCAGTGCACACTTATTAAATTCTGTGTTAAGAAATGTTTTTGATTTAAAATTTTTATCACAAGAAGATAACAATGGATCAAAGCCCTTGGAGCCAATAATAATCTTAATGACAGAGTGTAAAATGTATGAAAAGTTCAGTAAAGAATAATGAATTATCTACAGTTTTGGTTCAAGAAGTTGAAACAAGATGGAATACGCGGTTACTTATGTTAAGTCTGTTCATAAAACTTTGCCTGAAATAATAAGAATCCACGGTGAATATTTTGGTCGGATTCAAAATATAAATACCAAACTTCTTCAAAATCTCATAAAATGTTTGAAGGTATTAAAAAATTCTTCAGATGAACTGGAGGGAGACAAAAATCCAACAATACAAAAAGTATCGTTAAACAAATGTTTAATTAGAAATCATTTATTGAAATATGCCAACCGTGAAAATAATCCAACAAATGATGAAATTGAACTCGTTGAAGTAAATATTAATTCCATAATGCAAAAATTAGGAGAAAAAGCATTCGAGATATTGAACTCAAAATTTAAATTAAGCGAGGAACATGAAATTGCTGTATTTCTTTGGCCCAAATTTAAAATGCTGAAAATGTTTTCCCAAGACATAGGTAAACGTTCTCGTATAATTAAAAATATTGATAAAAAACTTTTAGATTTAGAATCCAACGACAATGAAATAAATATTAATGTAGAAAGAAACATTGATGAATCAAATAGACCATCATCATCGGTGTTTTCAGGGGCGGGGGGCAAAAGTAAAAAAATTTCAGTAGTTTTTAAATGCTCCGTGAAAAACAAAAAAATTAAATAGTAAAACACAGGAATTTTTATGCAAAACAGTTTTTGACATAATTGAATTTTTAATTTGGCTGTTACTCAAAAAATAAAAACTGTAGATACTGTATTGCTAATATGCACAATAAATATATGTATAATTATATTATTAATTTTGTAGATACCAGTATACCACGATCGAAAGAAGGTTGTCGTGAAGTAGCAAATGGATTTCGCTTAAAATGGAATTTCCCCAAATGCATTGGTGTACTCGATGGAAAACATGTAGAGATAGAAGCACCAGAGAACAGTGGAAGTGTATATTATAACTATCATAGCACATTTAGTATCATGTTGATTTCTATAGCAGATGCTGACTATCATATTCATTATGCCGATGTGGGATGCCAGGGAAGAGTTTGTGACGGGGGTGTTTTTGCAAATACAACATTCTATAATTAACTTATAAACAATGGATTAGAACTTCCAAAACGGACATGCTTATCAGAGAAAAGTCAAAGCCAAGTTACTCCTTTTGTATTGGTAGCAGATGACGCATTTTCATTAAGCACAAACCTTATAAAGCCCTTCCAAGGTCCATATCCAAAAGGTTCCCAAGAAAGAGCGTTTAACTATCGACAAAGTAGAGCTCGACAGATTATTGAGAATGTGTTAGGTTTGCTGGCGACTGTTTTCCGAATATTTAGAAAGCCTATTCCATTACACCCTAAGAAAATTGAAAGTGTAGTACTTGCTTGCATTTCTCTACATAACAATTTAAGACAAAATGCACAGTCAGTACGGATGTACACACCACCTGGCACATTTGATAGTGAAGATTTAGATACTGGTTCAATAACACCTGGTTAATGGAGAGCAGAAACTGAGGGAAGTTTACTTGATTTACAGCGCATCCCAAAAAATGCTTCTCTAGAAGCTGAATAAATCAAAAACGAATTCGCCAAATTTTTTATTTCATAAGAACGAAAAGTACCGTGGCAACTAAGATTTGCATACATTTTCTGGACTATTATTATTATTGTAGTTAATGGTTTATTATTGTTTAATTAATTTTAATTTTTAACACTATAAGGTAACAAATATGATCTTTGTTGTTTAAAATTTAAAAGATGGTTTTGGTAAAAATCAAAATATTTCATAAGGTTTATTATAGGTACATATTTTAATTTTATATTTGTGTTATTTCTTATTTTATTTGTATTAATATCACGATGGGTTTATAGAATAATTATGCGATAGTAATACGATTACGACATCATTACGACAATAAGCAATATAGACATTTTTGATGGCAATAATTTTTAAGTTTACAATAATACAATTTAGTTCGGAAACAATGTAATCGCCACCAATACCATCCTCCAGCGAACAAAGTCCGTCGTCGAAACGAACCTGTACAATCATGTATACGTGTGCAGCTTCTCACCAACCCGTGTGTTTAATTTTGTACATTGGTACAGTAAAGTTTTCTCAAAAATGTATTGGTAGACAATCGGTTATGGTTTCGTAATTCAAGTAATACGCCTTATTGAAGAGTTTTACAGTATAAATACCTATTACAAAAATTTTAGATTAGAATTTTTCCTAGAATCGTAAGAAGCCCAATTTTTGATATCTTGTTTCAATCGTCTAATATCGCATGGAAAATTAACACTTTTTTAAACTTTTTATCGACTAATTATTTAACTAATTAATAAAAATATCGAAAATCGAATTGTTTACAATTGTTTAAAAAAGTTCTATTCTACAATTTTCATAATTTTTTACTGTAAGCCACTTAAATAAAATGTATTACTTGTGTTGAAGTACACATTTTCTCTATTAACAAAAACACACGGATCTGCTTTTGTTTCTAATAGATTAAAGTTAAGAAGAAATGTTTTGAACTTTATGTTCCAACATCGTGGTGACTGCTTTAGACCATATAAACTGCGTTGAAGTCTGCACACCATTTAAGTAAAATCGTTGAACCCTTCTGGTTGTCTCATGTAAATTTCTTCGCCTTAACCTCAGATTTATGTTTCATAAAATAGACATAAGTATACGTACATTTCACCAGCCCCCCCCCCCCCCCCAAGTTACAAAATCATAGTTTTTTCTTCGCCATTAATTTAGAAAATGACTATGATTATAAAAAAATTGACATTCTCATTTTAACTGAAACATGGCATAGTGTGGAAAACTGCGTGTTTACAATACATAACACATATTATTCATCCACTAAACGAAACCAAAATGATGGGGTAATAGTGTTCATAAAATGTGCCTTATCGGTAACTTTATATGAATTTGGTTCTGTAGATAGCAACATCTTAAAACTGTCACTATGTATTAATAATACGCCTTTGGTATTTTACTGCGTTTATAGATTGCCTGCAAGTAACACTAACGATTTTATCGTAAACTTACGTAATATTTTTGATAAAGCAATTTCAGATAAGGGCTCCTTCTTAATTGGAGATATGAACATAAATATTATAGAGAATACAAATAATGACTATTTAGACGTGTTAGCCGAACATGGTTATAAATCATATATAAACATATATACTAGATTACCTCCAAAAGGAAATTACTCGTGTTTGGATCATATTTTTATTAAAACTCAACAATCTAATTTAAATTTAATTGAAGCAGGTGTTATACAATCACATATCACTGACCATTTCTCTATTATTGCAGCAGTACCAATATCTAGTCATGTTATTTCTGATACTAAAATTATAAAAAAGAGTGTCAACTACGACCTCTTATGCAGTTTTTTAAGACAAGAAAATTGGTCTGATTTGAATAGTATTTTAAATATTAATGAACAAGTTGATATATTTTATGCAAAGTTATTGAAGCATATTGAAAACTCTAGCTACGAAATTAAGATTAATTCAAAAAATAAATTCATTAAAGAATGGATGACTAAGGGACTGTTAATTTCGGCACGTCGTAAAAATGATATTTCTAAAATGGTTAAAAAAACATAATAAACTTAATAATGCAAATTTACGTGCTTATTTCATTAAATATCGTAATAATTTTACTTCAATTCTAAGAGCAATTAAACTACATTTATACAAATCAAAATTTTCTAGTGCAATACTAATCCTAAACTAACTTGCAAAACTAATAAACAATTTAACAGAAGCCAAAAATAACTCAAACAATGAGACATTGAAAAATAATATTGAAAATAATGGCCAAACAATTAACCCACAAAAAGATCCCTCCAATATAGCAAATATTTTTAATTCTTTCTTCTTAAGCGTTGGTAAATTTCAATAACAGTTTGTTTAATTATGTTGTCAAAGTACCAAGTTGTTCTTTTAATCAGCTCTTTCTAAAAAAGATTGAAAAAACTGAGGTCCTATATATTATAAAAAATTTCAAAGATAAAACTGCAGCTGGTTTTGACAAATTTTTAGTTAGACTTTTAAAGCACATAGCTCCGTATATTGTAGACCCTCTTATCTATATACTAAATTTATGCCTCAAAAAGGGCGAATTTCCAGATAAATTTAAACTCGCAATTGTCAAACCACTTTATAAAACAGGTGATACAAAAAAATAGAAACACAAACTATAGACCGATATCCATGCTATGCAACTTTTCAAAAATTTTCAAAAAAATAATTAAACTTAGACTTATAACTTTCTCAGAAGCGAATGAATTATTATCGAAAAATCAATTTGGTTTTCGACCTGGTAGAAGTACGACTGGAGCGCTCTATGCGACATCAACATTTTTATATAACGAATTAGACAATAACAAAATAGTAATTGCAGTTTTCTTAGATCTAGCGAAAGCATTTGACACAGTAAATCACGATGTACTTCTTAAAATGTTGCCAAGTTTTGGAATATCAAATGAAAGTCTTATGTGGTTCAAAAGCTATCTAAAAAACCGAAAACAAGTAGTTTCGATAAATGGCGTTAATAGCTTTGAGGGTGAAATCGATTACGGTGTACCGCAGGGCAGTGTATTAGGACCAATTTTATTCATTCTTTATATAAATAACATCTGTAATCTATGTATTGACGGTCAAGTAATAACCTATGCAGATGACACCTGTCTACTTTTTTCCGGAAACACATGGGAAATCAAAAATCAACTGTTGGAGTAAATGATGTTTTTAAAGAACTGAATAATAATAAGTTGACTTTGAATATAAGGAAAAGTGTTTTAATTGCTTTCTCAATTTATAATACGTACATACCGTTCAATGATATTATTATTCACTCTTGTAAAAATCGAGATTTAAATTTAAATTTATGTAATTGCCAAAAAATAAGTAGGGTAACGATAGTTAAATATTTGGGTCTTATTTTTGACTGGAATCTACGGTGGAAATTCCATATTGAAAATGTGGTTATGAGATTAAGATCTGTTATTTGCAAATTTTTCAAACTTAATAAACTCTAACCAACTGAAACAATGTATACTGTATATAATGCACTCTATAAGTCGATTTTCCAATACGGTCTTTTAGTATGGGGTGGATGTTCTGATAGTGCTATACAACCTATTGTGATTCAACAGAATCATGCAGTAAGATTATGTCTATAGCTCGACTTCCGTAAACTATAAAGAATTTAGAGTTCTACCGGTCAGTTATTTATATAGGCAATTTTCTATTTTATTTAAAATAGGTAAAATTTATACTACTGAAAACGTCAATAAAAGAGAACACAGGGCTTACGATCTGCATGTTAGTTACACAAAAAAAAATATAGGTAATAAGTTCGTAGATTATTTAGGTTCAATTAATTTTAATGTTATGCCACTTGAGCTGAAAAAGAATATTGTAAATAATGTATATAAAAATGATTATGTATTTAAGAAAAAAACTATTGTAAACTGGTTGTTTCTGAATCTTTAACTGTTAATTGTATGCAATTATGAATTAAGTTATATAAATATTGTAATTAAATGTATTTTATAGTTTTTATTTGTAAACTAACAACTCATTTACCTCGCCACAAGCTCTGCTTAATGGGGGAAATTAAATAACTAATGTATTTATTGTAACTATATTATTTATTCAATAAAAAAAAAAAAAATTAATTAGTGTGGAATTTGTGTGAATTTGTGCGAACATTTTCAGAATTTATGCGATTAAGCATTTAGGACAAATTCAAAAAAACTTTGGAGGGGCTGGTGAAATGTTCGCTGACCCCGCCCCTATGTAATTAATCGAATTTTCCGGATTTTTTTTTATCAAAAATCAGTGCGCCATTAGTGTGAATTTGTGTGACAAAAACGGAAATTTTTAGAGCAACCCTTCGTTTGACACTGATGGACTTTTAAAATTTATAAATATTTTTATACATTTTTTTGCTTATTTATTTTTAAATAAAATACATGAAAAAATTAAAAATTAGAATTAAACATTTAATTTTTTATTATATTGTGTATACAAGAAATTCGCAATTTACAACTTTTGTATTTTTTATAGGAATTGGTTTTTTCTTCATATCATCATATTGTCCACAATTGCTTGTCCCTTGTTTTGCGAAACCACAATAATGCCCTATTGAATTTCTCAGCTTCGTTTTGCCGGCTTTGAAGCTTAGTACTCCTCTAAGCTCCTATGTTTTTGAGTTGCACTGTACAATTTGTGAAATATCACATAACTTCTCTTTCACTTGAGCTACTGCTTCACAGCTGCGGTCTTTGCAAATCACATTTTCTCCTGTAACAATATTATGAAATATAATTCAGTTTTGACGTTGGTATAAATGCAATTAAGGGGCCTCACTATTAAGTCTTTTTTTTGTCAAAAACTACTGTTTCTAATTCCAACGATACGTGTGGACAATTATCACGATTTTCATTCTGAAAAGATATTCTGATTGTCCGTAATATAAACAAGGGAACGATCGAGCCACATTTTTAATTTTTGTAATTTAAATTGCAATAAAAGTTGTAAAAAAATCAAAAAAAATACAGAATTTCCAACTTACATATTTAATTAACTAAATACAATTTAAAAAAAATTTGCCTCGATCGATCCCTCGTACATGTTGTGGAAAATAAGAATATTTTGTCAGAATGAAAATCGAGGTAATCGTTGCGACGTACTGTTGGAATTAGAATCGTATGTTTAAGTGAAAAATAAGCATTTTTTCATGATCACAATATTATTATATATTGACATGTGTGTGCGAGTGCGTGCGAGAGCCCTCCGCACCGCTACATAGACCCGCATGGACGCCACACACACTAAGGGCCGTTCTTACAATGTCCGGTAAAGTGTCGGTTAACGCTAACCGACTGATAACAGATTTTATTACCGGCAGAATTCTTCCGGTTAAGTGTCGGTTAACTTTAACCGGACGTCGTAAGAACGGCCCTAATAATCATTTACGACTAACACATAGATCTCGGGTGGCAAAGACGAGATTAGAAATTGCCTAAATGATTCTCTTTAAATCAATGCCATTGCGAGGCCCCTTAACTTGTTTTATTTTACAGTATCTTTTCTCTTTATCCTTGATGGCTACTGACAATACAAAATAAATTCATATGATATGAAAATATTTTTATATTTAAATTAATTTAATATTCAATATAAAGTCAATACTAATTTTCTATTAGCTATAAAGCAAATTGTTCAATAATTGTTTTTGTCTTCAAACTATTTATTACATCTCTTTCAATATTTATGTCATGGCTTACTTTTTAATTTATATTTGTACCTACTACCTATTATGTGGAAGCTGGATAAATATTTGAGGGGCTAAGCCCCCTTTAGCCCCCACCTAATTGCGCTTATGTATAGCCTGCAGATTAGACAAGGGTTACTCAGGAATCACACGTTATGTACAATTAACTTTTTTTTATCAAAACCAAACCTATCCATAATTTTTATTTTATTTTAAAGCTATCAAATAGTCGTATCAACCATGATACGAAATTAAACCAGAATTGTATAAGTCTATAAAAGTCGGGTTTTCGCCACGGAGGGGGGGCTTGGGAAATGCCGAAACGGTCCGACGTTATTTCGGGGGTTAAGGGTTGCTCTAAAAATGTCCGTTTTTGTCACACAAATTCACACTAATGGCGCACTAATTTTTGGTAAAAAAAAAATCCAGAAAAGTCGGGTTTTCGCCCCGGAGGGGGGTTGGGGAAATAACCAAAACGGTCCGACGTTATTTCGGGGGTTAAGGGTTGCACGAAAAATTTCCGTTATTGTCACACAAATTCACACTAATGGCGCACTAATTTTTTTAAAAAAAAAATCCAGAAAATTTGATTAATTACACTTAGGGGGGGCCAGCGAAAATTTCACCCCCCCCCCCCCAAAGTTTTTTGAATTTGTCCTAAATGCTTAATCGCACAAATTCTGAAAATGTTCGCACAAATTCACACAAATTCCACACTAATTAATGGTGAAGAAAAAACTATTTTTTTGTAACTTGGGGGGCTGGTGAAATGTACGTCATAACTCATAAGTATATTTAGAATAATCATCTTTAAAGATAATGAAATATCTTTTACCTCCTAATGCATTCTCTTCCATGGGTCCACACTCCACATACGTCGCTGTGTATTCTTTGCCCTGGCTGAGTAGTTATTGTTTCGATCTGAGTGAACGTCTCCTTATGCTGTTTGCCATAGATGCATGGTTCACAGAATAACTGTCCTTGTATGTCTGTAAATTGTATTTCATTGTGTTTTAAATACTCACAAACATGTTTGACATTCTGATGACATAGTATTTTGTGCCAGTGTTCTAATGTTAATTTCTTAATTGCAAAGTTAGCACAGTGTCCAATTTCCTGTGAAATATCTGTTTTGATTAGCATTGTAAACAATTTATTCTCACGAACACCGACTGCAATTAGTAATTACACGATTATTAATTTTAAATGTACAACCTTTACTGTCTGTCACCATTGTAATTTCTTTATCAAGGCATGTCCCACAAGAAAATAAATTTACCTTTAGATCAGGTACATATAAAACATTTTCTAAGTACCCTTTTATCCAATTATTGTCAACATAAGTATGAATATTTAATATTTATGTTACCTTTTCCGAATGCCATAATGTGTTTACCATCTCCAATACGTACAGAAGAATGTACATCAAAATGTTTATAATCGACGAACCACTCTTTTCGATTTGCCATGTGGTCGCTCGCACCTGAGCCACGTATCATTTGTCTGAGTCGTCGATTTCTTCAATTTTTCTTTCTACACCAATAAGGGCCAAACCGGAAGTTTATTTCTTTTCTTCTTGTTCCTTTTTGAATATCCTGCAGTCCCTTTTCCAGTGTCCTGGTTTTTTACAGTGATTGCATTTTTCTGGTTTTGTATTATCACTTTGTTCACGTATTTTTGACATTTATTATACTCGCCTTTGTTTGCAGTCAACGCACTACTTTCAGCACCATCGTCACGGACCTCCTGCCCTTGCACATGTCATGTTTCTTCCACCATCAATCGAGCAGTTAACTGTTCTAGCGTTCTATTTGCACTATTCATAGAGTCCCATGTACTGTAGAAGTGCCTATAGCTTTCTGGTAATGTCATCAAAACTTTTGTAATTAACATTGATTCTGAGATAGGTTCTCCCAATTGTTTTAGTTGTCTACTTAGATTTTCTAATTTTGAAGTATGACCTGCTATATTGTCTTTTGGATCCATTGTAACGATAGAACTTTTGTTGTACTATTGTTATACTTGTGTCCGATTTCTGTTCGTACACACTAAGTAATTTGTTAAACATACCATTTGCCGTGTCACAGTTCATAATGTATTGTAGAGGTTGTTTATCTAATGATGTGACGATACATTTTTGATCAAGTTATGCGTTTATGGCAGTGTTAAAAGATATTTGTATGCCAAGGCTAAATTACTATAAGCACTGCTATACATATTATACTTCACTAAAACATGAAGACAGCATACAGTACAATTCATGCAAAACCTACAACTTGTTTTCATTACATTTTGGGTGGCACATTCTTCAACTTCATCACTAGATCCGTCATTTTCAAGTGTTATGTTTGTATTTTTGTTTTCTATGTAAAATTCTGGTAATGTTTTTGTTGAAAGTGAAGCTTGACGTTGACAACTAATGATGTTTAGCATTAATATAATAAGTAATAACACGACAATATGATTATGTATTAGTATAATATATAATAACGTACAACTGGACAATTAAACTGTGACAGTACACACACATCGTATACGCTCTGTACAACGACGCCTGTGCAAGTGAGTACAACATACATCAAAGGCCCTATATATATGCACGACCGAGGTCATGTTACATCCGTGAAGAGAGTGAGTCTTATGCTCGTACATAACTAGTTACTATATTGTACACACGTGTCAAGGCTGACTACATATACTACATATTAATTGTATATTTCAACAGTTTTCTTAAGGCTGTCCCAATTTTTAGCAAAATTTAACAGTTCATTTTTTATTGCAATGATGTTCAAAATATTATCAAATATTACAAGCTTTTTACAGAGTTCATCTAATGCTGTAGTAGGTAAACCATTAGCTGCTATATCAACAAAGTTGATAGGAGATAGACAAGATAAGTCACCATATAACATTTCATTCCCAGTAATTCTTTCTTTAATTTTGCACACAATTTTATCTAAAATTACATTGTGTACTTCCACAGTAAATCTTTGGTAAGCATTTACAATTTGTTGATCATGTGATACCTCACCAGGTAGTAATTTTCTTTTTCTACTTCTAATTTCAGGTAAATGGTCTTCAACAATTATATCATCAACATCCACCTCGTCGAATTTATTTTCCAACTCTGTTGACGCCCACTTAACAAATTTGTTTGCTACCATTTGTATGCCATCACAATCTCATTGTATAATTATTAAACGTTTTAATGCATCATTTACAAGTTCTTGAGATTTTATTAAATCAATACCGCTTGTTTGCAAATATTTTGATAGTGGCCCTGTTATTTCAAATATTCTTTGGTATATAAATGCAGTTAATATAGTAGAATACTTCAAGAGCTCAGTTTTTAAACATTTTGCTTTTAGCCTAATATTTGAACTGAATTTATCAGATGTTTCTATTTTATACAATGCACTGATAATACAAACATACATAGCACTATTAAAACCATCAATGGGTGATCCAAATATATTATTAAGAGCACTTTCCTTATCCCACCATCTAGTATCTCTAGCTTTCTGTAATCTTCGCTGTTCTTTTTCACCTACAGCATTTTTCCAGAGAGACATTCTTTTATGTGACTCTTAAAAGAATACAGCTGCATTATTGAGAAGAGTAAATAAAGATGCTGCTTCTAATGAACACTTTGTTACACCAGTTATGGCTAAATTTAATATATGTGCATAGCACCAATCATGCACTTGTCCTGGAGAGAATTTTTCTAACCAAGCTGTAAATCCATTGTAGATACTCTGCATGTTGGCTGCACTGTCTGTTGCATTACTTATGCTCATTTCTAAATTCAAATTGTTATTTTTTAATACAGTTTGAAGCAATTCAAACATACCATGGCCAGATGAATTTGAACATTCTACAATTGCAATTAATTTTTCATTTACTTTAACACAGTTTTTGTCAACAAATCTTATTACAACAGCACATTGGTCCATAACAGATATATCCTGAGTAGTATCAGTTTCTACTGAATACATTCCCGTTTCACGAACCGCATCAGATATTTTGTTTTTAATAATACAGCTAATGGAATCAATTATGACATTCAGTGTAGTCTTAGAAATAAATGTAATGAGTCCACCTCTTCCCTTACTTCCTGATTCATGAGCTTTTTACTCTTTTCTATAACCTAGTAACGGAAGAATATCTAAGAAATTTCCATGATCAGTTGATAGACTATCCAACATATATGCTAATTCACTTTGATTCCCTCCTCTATAACTTCCCACACAGCAATGAAATATTGTTCACATATATAATTTACATGTTTTAATAACATATTAACATTGTTTAAATATTGTTTGTTCATGGTTTTTTAGTGAGTTTCATATTAAAGATATATGGTGACAATGTGTGATGGCAGAAAAGATCATGTTGCCACAGCATGTTCTTCCAATATTATGAAAATATATTATCACTTTATTGTATCAATATTTTCCAGATATATTATGAATATATTGCTATACCATATTGTTACAATATTACTTAAAATATTATGAATATATTTTCTTATTACATTGTACCAATATTGTCCTCAAATATTATGAAGATATTTTCTTATTACATCATATCAATATTTAGAACATATAATCATACTATATTGTAGATACATGATAAAAAACATATTATAATACGTTTGTAAAATAAAAATATTGAAAACAAAAATTACTAATAATGATGTTTACCATCTAATAAAGAAATTGAACTAAGGAAAATAAAAAATAAAACATATTTTTGTAATGAATACTGTTTATTTAAAATTTCAACATAAAAAATTAAAAAAAAAAATCACTAATTCCTTGTATGAATACAATATGCAATTTATATTATATTATAGTAAATTATTCAAAAATAAAAATAAAATAATATTCCTTATGTATGGATATATAATAATATATGTATTCAAAGTATATTACAGTTAATATTAAAAATCAAAAAAAAAAATCACTATTTCCTTAGGTATGAATATAATATGTAATTTATATTATATTATAGTAAAATAAAAATAAAATAATTTTCTTTTATGTATGAATATATAATAATATATGTATTGATAGTATATTACAGTTAATATTAAAAAATCAAAAAAAATCACTATTTCCTTATGTTTGAATATATAATAATATATATATTCATAGTATATTACAGTTAATATTAAAAAAAACAAAAAAAAAAAAATCACTATTTCCTTATGTATGAAAATAAAATGTAATTTATATTATATTATAGTAAATTATTTAAAAATAAAAAAAACTTATTTGGCATATTCAATTATTCATGTGTAGCTGAGGCATTATAATAGATCGAGTAATATTTTTTTCTTTTTTTTTTTATCCTATTGGACGCTTGTGCCATCCAATTTTTTATTCCGAGAGATATGTCTAGATCACAAGCATCTTTAAATTTTTGAATTTTTCTTACGGAATCTAAAATCAGATTTAATAATACAATGAGGTAAAAGTTATAGATTAAATCTAATAAAAATATACAGCAATGATAAATTATTTGAATGTAACAATAATTTACACTTTTTAATTACTTAAACACAAATAGTTAGTTTTTAGAAACTTCAAAAAAATTCTATTTTTTTAATATTACATAGAAACCAAATAAATTCCATTATTATGACTAATATATAATTATACGTAAATTGGCTTTTCATTATAAACGGTAACATATAAACCATGTAATTTTAAATAATCTTGAAATTTTTAAAATGTATATTACATTCAGTTTTATTAAACAATTAGGTATTATCACCTATATATTTTTCAAGTTCTCACTTACAAAAACTTTTTTTTAAATTTCTTTGTAAAAGTAATTTAATTTATATCACAAATGAAATTGTATCAACCATATTGTTGATTAGAAGTTATAATATACAGGAGATGAAACAAATTTTTAAATATGAACCAAACTTTAATTTAGTATTTATATCTCTCAAATAATATATTACAGATTATAATATAAGCATATTAAATAAATGTCAAATAAAATTCTGAAACTAATAGGGCAATTAATCTTCTATTTGAAAAGGGAAAGATGATAATATTATTAGATTCAGGTACAAAAAAAAAGGTAAAGCTTAACTTCTATATTATAATATATTAAGAATGATGATTCAAAATAAAAAAGTGTTAATACATTACTTAATTTACAAATAATAAAAAATATTAATTATATAAATTAATAATGCTTATTATAAAAAATAATATTCTGTATATTTAAATGACGTATTATTGTCACACCAACAATTATTTTACTCACCAAAGATTAATTTGCAACTACCTAATGTAGAGAATACATTTTTTCCTTTAAATCCTAGGTAGGAATAATCTTTTAGAAGTTCATCGCTAAACATGTTCTGCATAATACGTCTTATTGTTTCTTGAATTGTTTTGCCAGAATGTCTGGATAACTACTTGATCTGCAGGGATTTGAAATATATTTTATTATATTATATTATGCTGTATAGTTTTTGGTATAGAAAAATATTTAACTTATGTACTAAATGTTTTTGATAATTTTGAGTTTAATATGTTCAGACCAAAATTACACTTTTTAAACTGAATGACTAAAACAAATAACGTTATACATTTAACAACTTACTATTATATTTCTTTCTGATAGATCCTCTTTTAATAGTAACCTTTCTTGTTCATTAAGCTCATTTTCATTTTGAATTGGCCACAGTGTATCTGCAAAGGTAGCATTATTCTCATCGCTGTCTTGTGATTGAGGCAAAGAATTAATCGAGGACAGTTTATCCATAATATTTTTAGTCATGGTTTGTAAGGAATCAATATTATACGATACACTTTTGAATTCATATTTAAGCCCAATTATTGCCTTGTTCATCATTTTCAGCTGATCTATAAAACAAAATTTTTTAATTTAATTGTAAATATATATTTATAAATAATAAATACAATATATTAAGAAATTGTCACATTATTTGAATAAATTATTTTATATATTGTGATATAATCTTATATATTACCATCAGCGTTTTCACATATATGCTTTTTATTCATGTTGTCTTGCTCTTCTGTTGTTCGTTTTTTACTAACAGATTCTTTTTTTTGTGTACTATGAACATCTGATGAATAAAAATAAAATAATATTAAAACTAAAATTAAAAAACCAAGACTCAGTGATTGGTTTTTATAAACACAAACATTTTGTAACGGGCGTGGTATAGCTCATACTTGAAGAGCTTTGAATAGTACTCAAATACTCATAGTGTTGAGGTGTTTGATTATCATCATGACTCATTTTTGAAGATGGCTTTTCAAGACTTTTACTACCAGCTAAATTAAACATGATACAATATAAAAAAGGAGTAAATAAAAATGACAAATAAAAAAATCTTTTAGTAAAACACACATTCACGACGATTTAGGTTACTTTCTAAAGAAATTGTCTTACTACAGATATTGTCTTCATGTTCTTCAACTAATAATGGCTGACTTTGAAACGAATGTTTTCTATTATCAGTATTAATTATATTGCATAAGTCTGTTGAATTAGATGCACCCATTGAAACTGTAAACATATTATAATCACATTAAATTTAAATTATAACAAGTTTAGCATCGTATATTATAAATTATAATATATAGCAGGTATTGAGTAGGTATATATTATATAACAGCAATATTATAAATCTAAATTGAATATCTCACACATAACTAAAAAATAAATATTTACAATTATTTTTGCCGTCTTTATTGCTGTACATATGGTCATATTCTTCATCACCTGAAAATAAACATTTACTAATATTTTTGCCATCATTTCCGTACATAGGGTCACGGTCTTCATCATCAACTGAAAATAAATATATATATTATATAATATTAAAAAAAAATTTAACATTATTAACTATACCATAGTAAAAAATTATATTATATATGACCTACCTGTAGAATCAGAACTGTTCTCATCACTATTTTTATCATAATTAGGAGGATCAGGCACAACAGATGATCTAAATCTACTCTTTCTAGCAGTTCTTTGATCATCAGCCGATGAAAGATCAGAAGTAGTTTTACCTTTATTAGCTTTCAGGCGTGCTTCAGTTAACGAATCTGCAAGATTAAAATGCACCCTTCACATCTTATATTATGTCATATTTGTACACACAATACATAATTACTTTAAGTTACCCTCTATCTAGTTTTAAACATATCAAATATTTAATTAAAAAACTTACTTATGTTAGCTAAAAGAACTCTAGCTTTCAAAAATTTAAAATCAATCTTGTTTATTTGGGTGCGTTTTTCAATTAGTCTACCAACATTGGATGACTTAACAGGCCAGGCACACATTTCATTTTTAAACCAATGATTAGGAACGGCTTCAACAGAGTTATCAATATCAAATGCAACTACTGACCACTTCATTTTGAATATGACTAAAAACTATAAACATTCTTTATATTAGATATTTTAAAAGCAAATAAATTATTAAAATAGGTTAAAAATAATGGTTATTTATTCAAAGTGGATTTAAGGTAAATTACATTTACTTAGTTGTTGTACTAGCTATTATATAAGTTTAGTGTGATTGTAATACCTATATTATATAATATTTGTTTCATTTAACTACAATTTTTAAAACTATAGTAATATTAAAAGAATATAATATACAATAAATAGCTAAAAACTTAGCATATAAACAAATATATGGCATCATTAATATTGTAAACTATTTTAAGTAGATATGTATTATATATATGCGGTACATAATATATGAGTATTCAATACATAGTATATAGTATCTAATTAATAGAATACAAAAACTACCCGAATAAATTGATATATTATATACAGGTAAATTTTAATATTTAAATATAGAGGAGAAATATACTAATATATATAGTTTATATATGGGATAGTCAATTATTTCACAAACTACTATATAGGTACTATCTGTTGTACCAGCTATTGATTGAAACTTGATTTAGATATTTGTTTTTAGTTTTTTTTCTACTATGATAATTTATTATGTTGTAATAAGTACCTTCTTATTGTTTGAAACTATGATGATGAATTGCATATTATTATTACTAAATATTATTAATAGTCATAAAACTGTTTTAGCTGACGGGTCTGAGTGCATAATAGGTAAAGCTATGAACTCAATTTCATTCAATGGGAAAAGCATCATTTTTTTCTTTATTTCAGTTAAGGTAATACTTTTCGTATTTTCTGATAAATTTCTAACCACATAAATATTTAATTTGGAAGATTTGATTGGCTTTTCATACATATTTTTCTTAAATAAAAATGGTACACCAATAATAGCAATGTTGTTATTACTCTTAAAGTGTGCAATATTTAAAACTTTAATTACTATATCATCTGTGGTTAAAATATAGCAATCAGAATTATTGTTTGTTTTGATTTTGATATTATTCAATACAAAAATGTTGTACTGAGGGTCAATAGTGTCAGATGTTAAAGGTCCTTTAGAATGTTTTTTTTTTTAATGAGTTTTTAACTGTTGAATTATCTGATTTAAAATCGCACATTTCATTATATCTTTTAACAACTTGTTGTAATGGTTTTTCATGTTTCCTCACCATACTTTTAAGATTTTTCATATAATTTTCAAAATAAAAAGCACTACAGTTGTCAAGTGGCCCAAAATTATTATAATCATCAACTAGATGTACAATACTATGGATATTATTTGATAAATAATGCTTTCCATATAAATGCTGATAATTATCAACAAAGTAATCAAGTAAATCTTTGGAAAATTGAACATAATCTTTTTTATCAGGACTAAGGAGAATTGTCATTGCAATACTAAGCGAATGGAAATGTACATAACATTCATGCGACAATACATCTTTTAAAACCAAGGGACCGGTATAAAGCAAGAATTGTCTCATTTCTGTTGCCTTCCAACGGTGTATTGCCTCCACTTCTCTAGGTTTACGTGAAAAATCACATGTTATATATTTTTTTAGTCCTAATAGCGAAGAACTAATTTGTTGGGTCTTTCGACTTGGTAAGCGAACATTTAATGGTCCTTTGTGAGTCCATAGTATAATTAATTTTTTCATTACACCCAAACATATTAGATGCATGTAATCCAATGAAAACATCTTTACAACATCAATACCAGGTATTTCAATTATATTGGACAATTCACTTGATACATGGTGGTCATCATATGTCCTATTAATATAATTTTCATGTGTTCTTTCAGTGCTACAATGTTTTTGATATGGAAAACATACGCGGTTATTAAGATATTCTCCTTCTTGAATACAACGATTACATGAACTAAAGCCTGAGTGACCTTTTGTTTTTAAGACGAAGGATCTTGCCGGAATATCGCAGGAAAACACAAATATCGAAACTTTTTTTAAAGAACCATCATTAACTATAATTCCATTTTCAATTATATTCTTAGCTTCATAGACAAAATCGTGCATAAATTGGTTGCTATCTGTAGGTTTCTCATTTCCCCAATATATTCCAATGGGGAAGACATCGTTATTGAATGGAAAAATATATGCTAATATAGGCCAAAATGTACTAGAACTACTCTTTGTTAACGGAAGTCCATCTATTCCTATGTTTAACATTATTGTATCAGCACCAGTACAATGCTCGGGAAATCTTTTAATGCCTGCCTCAATTCCAAAGTGATAATAAATACCAGGATTAACATGTTTTACACCAACAACTTTAGAGGAGCCAGAACCAAGCAAAGTCCTGCAATCCATTGGAAGAGTTTTTTCAAAACATTTATGTTCCTTAAGAATTTTTAATAATGAAGTAAATGCATTTTGACATATACCAAAATGTACTGACCATTCTAACAAGTTTTTGGATATTAATTCAGGCTCAGAAAAATTTTTGGATTCGTATTGTTCTGTTGATGAAGAAGAATTTAATTCAATACTGGTAGACTGTATTTGAACTTAAAAACATAAAATTAATTATATAGTTACATTAATATCTATATAATTATAATAATTATTAGTTTATTTAACTAAAAAATTTAACAGAGAGATAGATGGTAAAACGTATCATATCATATTTATATTATAATATTTTGAAAAGAATTTTCAAATTTAATAATTGCTGGAACTATCTTACAACCTCGGTTAACATTAAATAAATAGTATTATATGGTTTAAATTAAACTAATAGTTATGTTATATAATGATTTAAAATATGAATAGGTGCAATTATTGTTTTAATAAACAGGTAGTATTATTATATATTATTTAATTGACTATATAAATAATTAATTATGTAACCATAATAACCTCGATAATAACTGTAAAACCATCTACCTACTCTCCAAAATTATAGTTAGTTAGGTACTATATAGGTACATTATTTGATACAAAACAAAGTAGGTAACTCCATTAATCATCATATTTAACTTGGATAGCAGGTATCCTAATTGGAAAAGATATAAAAAATGAGCTTTTTTATTGAATGTGCACAATAGTAATACATTATTATATTACCCAATGACAGTTGTAATTATAAATTATATTGGATGTAGCTATTACCATATGTATTATTAATGTAATTAAAAATATAAATGTAGCATTCATGAAGTAAAAAAAAAAAAATATATCTTCCTAATTTTACTATCTATTTTTTCAATAGGTATTATTGGTGTTCTTAATTATTAAATAAAATTTGTATCTCATAATTTACCTATAAATAAAACAAAAATGATTTATATACTTTTGTGTATTTCAATACCTAATGGTGGACTCAATGAAAATGTTGCATCATTAAATGATTCATTATTATCATTTATTAAATTATTCTCTGGAATATTAGATGGTTCAAAATGCTGTACAACTGAAGTTTCTCGATGTTCACTTAAATTATTATCAGTATGTTTTGACGTTAAACCAACCATTCCATTATTCATCAATTCTATCTCTTCCTGAATCTTTCTCCTTTTAGACCTATAGCTCTTAATCATTTTATAAATAAATCTGGAAAAGTATAGAAATTTCAAATTTTCTTCTATGAAGAAACTATATACCAATGCAAAAATTAAACAAGTTCAAATTGATTTTTAAAAGTATAGTAGGTACTAATAATTAATACCTAAATATAATTACAATATATTATTGGGAAAATTTAACAAAGGACCTATAAAAGTTATTAAAGATAATCAAAATAAACTGAAATTCAGTAGGTATTACCTAAGAAATTATTTTATGCCTACTTAAGAATATTTGTTTTAAATACATATAACATTTAGATTATTGATATTTGATATACTATATAGGTAGACAGGTAGTTATAAATATATATGGTATATAATATTTATTTATTTAGCATACAATACGGGTATAATATATCCTGTGTTAGGTATTAAAATCACACACTTTAGTAATTACGATTCACGTTGTATTTGGGGCTTAATAATTCTATATTAATAAGTAGGTATTACGATTATTTATAGATACCTACATACCTACAGTAAAATATTATTTAAATTTTAAGTTTATAGTTAACTATAATATATTCAAACTAATCAAACAATAATTAATATAGGTACAATACCTAGGTACTTACAACTGTATAGTAAAGTGTACTGCTATATGATTTTCCAATGGCTCTGGCGATTTTGGCAGATTATAGCACAAAGCCACAAAAACAAACAGCGTCAAAACAAAACACCACAGGGTCGATGCCGATGGCGGCACAACGAATGGCTTCAACTAGTTCATCTGTTTTAACGGCCCATACATCAACATCATGGAACAGAATACGCAAAGGCGATAGACCGTCGAAGTCGAACGAAAATACCGCGATGCGTGAGCGGGGTCGCGGGGAAGGTAGCCGCTTCTAGAATATTCTACGCCGACAGCGCTGTCGGCGGACCAGTTGTACTTTCGCCCGGCGGGGAAACCAGCAGACCCCGCGTAGCTTACCCCGCCGAATATTATTGATAATCACGATTTAAGATATACCCTTAGATCATAATATATTAATATCATATACTATGGATGGAGCCACTGCATATTATTTTGAAGCCGATATTAGCGACGAGTCACCGAATTAGGTGATCGATATGCGCATGCGCGAAACAACTCGTTTAATATTAATATTATAATCACCAGCTGATAAATATGCGAGAGGTTGCGTTGCGCATGCGCATATCGAACACCTAATTCGGTGACTCGGCTAAATGGCTAAAGCGGCCTCTAGACGATCAATAATATTGTCAATATTTGTATCAATAATATTGACGGAACCATATTGAAGCAAGTATTGATCGTTTAGAAGGATATTGATATGGATTGTCAATCATTGAGAGAGATTGATAGAAATTTTGATTGATGCTCATTGAAGGGCAAGATTGACAGGACGTATTGAACGTCTAGAAGCGTTTATTGTCAATATTTCCGAAATTTAAGTGGCCCATACATTATTGTCAATATTTCCGAATGAGTATTGATGGCTGTGTTTGACGAGCTGATTGACGTACATTGACGCGGGTGTCAATCTAACTCGTCAATATTATTGACAATATTATTGATCGTCTAGGGGCCGCTTAATATCGGCTTCAACTTTTTGTATTGCTATAATACGCAGTGGCTCCATCCATAGTATATTATGATCTAAGGATATACCTTATATATCTTGTATAGGTTAAATCGTGTTGATAATAAACAGATACCTACCTAACATCATATATTATGTTCTATGCTAATATTATTGATATTTTTTTAATTTGTGTATTGATACAGCTTATTATATACACTGTTTATATCCTATTATATTGCCCAACGCCCCAACAGACCGGATTAGCGTGTAAGATTTTAGATTTGATATTATTAGATTTTGAGAAGAATATGATTGCAATTATTTTAAAATACATAAAGGTAGGTACTTAATTCAAATTCTCTTTGAACTAATGATAAATCTGTTTTAATAATAGGTCCTATTCAAAACGTCATTTTTGTACATATTATAATATAGTACCTAATAATATAGGTACTATATACACTCAATATAGTTTTAAAAATGTTCAAATATATACGTTCTTATATTCCCGTGTAGGTACCTACCTACACAAGTTATGTGTGAACGAGTATTTTACAAACTTAACATCAAATACCAAATTAAATTATTTTTTACATGGTCGGACTGGCATCAAAAAGCCCAGTCCTCTTTTGATTCAGAGGGGCCACTTCTCAGGTCAAAACATTCCAAGCAAAAACAAAAATTGAGCTCGATATAAGCGTACTCTGCAATATTCCTATACCTATACAACATAATATTTTATACAATTTGTTATAATATTTTCTTTCTTTGCTTTTTGAATTTTGGATAATAAAAAAGACAATAACTTTTGGTTGGTAGGTACCTATGACCTAACTTCTAATCTACAGTATTTATAATTTAAAACATAAACACATTTAGTTCTTATAGAGGAATAGGTATATTGTGCCCATTGTGGCCAAGGGCGTATACATGGGGGGGATGTGGGGGTCAGATCCCCCATAGGCCTTTTTTTAATTTTATAAAATAGTGTTCTTAATGACTTAATGTAAGAAAATTACAAGGAAAAAAATGGCAAGGATTTTTTGTAAATTTTTATTTTAACACATTCAACAATTAATTAAAAATAATTTACTTAATATTAATCAGTAATCATATATTTATTTCATATTAATATAATCGTATTATGTGATATTTGATAATATGTATATTATATATACAAGTATAATAAATTATTATAAGAATAATAATATGTGGCAGACCAACCACGGGCCTTCGCCACCGTCACCGATATCAATGCGGCGGACACGACGCCCGCATATCCGTGCGTATAATAATACATTTTCCTATACATTAGAAAAAGAAATATTATTATGGTATAATATAAGGTTATTGCATGATGGTTTTTACGCATTTTTTACGCATTATCAATTTTGTATATTATCAACTAACATGGATATACCTACAACATACTATATAGCTAATAGCTATATCAGTAATTTGTTCATTGAAAGCTAAAAATAGCTTAAATAATAAATATTATTATCTAAAAACAAAAATCAACAACAAATATTATGTCAGTTGTACGAACAAGTCATAACAGATATAATAGTACCAATGCCGATTGCCGAATTGAGTTAATTGTGCGAAAAATAAAATATAATGAGGAAACAACAAACTTTGAACAGTTTTTTTAAACCATCCTCGATTAATCCTCCTGATCCTATGACCAAACGAAATTCCGATTTTGTTCTATAATTACTAATGTAGAATTTAAAATAAAATGTATTGAATATATATATATGTTTTATCATTTATTAGGTATTTAAATGTGCACATACCTAGGTTTAGGTATTTTCGTTCCATAATAATTTGTTATTCTTAAAATTCAATTTGTGATCCTTAAAATTATGAATCATGTAATATATAATAATATAATATAACCCATTAACCCATCTAATATAAAAAATTCTCGTGTCACGGTGTTTGTCCCAAAACTTCTCAGAAACGGCTGGACCAGTGAAAGCTGTCCGTCAAATTATGTGTTTGATATTGGTGTGTAGATATGAATAATAATAAAATTGTTCCGAGAAGTTTATAGGTAAAATAATTTCTCGCACAGAGTCGCACCGTGCGTACATCAACACTATTAATGCCGAATATTAATGATGAACTATACATGCCATTGACATAATACAACTATACAGCTTAGAGCAGTGCAATATATAAATTATGTCTGTGTCATTACATTCGTTTTTTTTTTGTATCGTTTATTTGTGATGTTTTTTATTGGTATGAGAGTTATTTTCAGTTAATCTCGTATGTTTGTTTTTTTACGATAATTCAATTTTTAGCAAGTTTTGCGTATATAATAGGTACCTATAGTGTAAATAAAAAATGATAATAATTCACTTGAAAATGGAATAATCGTAAAAAACCAACATATTATACTAACACAGATAATGTTCTTATTACCATCAAGTTTCATTATAGGTCAATTAAATCAAATTTTTAAACCAACGGTGCTAAACGCTATCGGCTGAGCGTAAATTTGCTATGTTACGCACTTATTGTAAGGAGACAACAAATATGTTGAGTCCTCTTAAGTACTTAATTTACGTAAATTGGATCTAAATGATACTTTATTGAGATAATTTTTCAATTTTCTCAATAGTTAATTAACGCCACGGGAAAAACCACTGAAAAATTACAACCGTTAAAAAACCGCTAAAAACGGGATTTTAATTTCTAAGATTATCTAAATAATCCTTATATTTTTGTACATATCAATTATTGCACATAGTATTATAATTTATAGGTATAGATAATAATTAGTAATAATTTATGCGAATGGTGACGACGAATTTGGTCTTTATATGTAACGAATCTCTGAATCTAAAATGAAAATACCTAAGTAAATACTGAAAATCACCAATGATTCAGGAACTGATATGACGTGATCCGTGAATGATTGCATTGAAAAATCAGCAACACTAGTTAGTTATTGAGTCACTGAACTTTATATATATATATATATATATATATATTATAGCACGATGATTTATAAAAATATAATTTATATTATTTCCTGCTACATCTTAAAAACGTGTTTCTATAAGATCGGAGAAATCACTATATATATATATATATTTAATTATAGGATATTTACAATACTAGCTGCGTTAACAATATCTTATATGTACATATACGTATACATATATATATTATATATGTATATATAGTGCCACCGTCATCCCATATATATTATATAATATCATACATCATATAAACATGTTCCTATAAAATGGGAGAAACCATTTACTTTCAATATTTAATGGAACATATGTTTATAGTATTTTAATAACATGTAACCTTTCAATGTTTTCTACAACACCATATAAACATGTTTCTATAATATGGGAGAAACCATTTACTTTCAATATTAAATGGAACATATGTTTATAGTATTTTAATAACATGTAACCGTTCAATGTTTTCTACAACATCAAATAAACATGTTTCTATAATATGGGAGAAACCATTTATTTTCAATATTAAATGGAACATATGTTTATAATATTTTAGTAACATGTAACTGTTCCATATTTCCTACAACATCTTAGAAACATGTTTCTATAATATAGAAGACACCATTTATTTTCAAAATTTGATAGAACATACGTTAACAATGTGTTCAAAAGATGATTTTATAACATATTTCCAAGAACACTTAAACCACATATGACTAAAATGTGTATATGTTCTGAATGCTGTGTGGGTTAGACCCCTTTTCCCGATAAGTTTTATAACATCAATGATACGTTCTAATATTTGTCTGTTATGTTAAATAATGTTCTTTTGTTCTAACTAATTCAAGTAATGATTTACCACCATGTTTTTTAAGAGTGGACGTATCACATATGATATAAATGTTTTGCCGTTTACAACATTTTAGTGGAATCAGAAATAAACGTTTAAAAGAATTTTATGTTTGTGGATTTAGACTTTTATTAACATCAACAAGTTTAGAAAGGTTCAAAAAATTATTAAAATCCTTAATGGTAGTTATATTGAGTCCTACAGATGGTTGGATGGATGAAAACAATATGCAACCAAACCCTTCAGAAAGTTCTAGACAATATTTACTGTCATTGATGAAAGATACTGCTTCATTTAATGATGAATATGTTTCCGAAGAATGTACGAACATTGAAATCTTGAAGGCGAAACCGATACTGTAGATTCAACAAATTTTTATGATCAAGATGAAGTAGAGCGTTTTATTCATGAAATAGAAACTGAAAGCAATATGGATGCTTTAACTAAAGGCAATAGAGAATCTGC